AATGAAGGCGATCTGCTTATGGCGGCTGAAGCCATCAATGCCGATGCCATCAATTTCATGGCGCGTTATGGTCGTGGCCTGATTTGTCTGACGCTGTCCGAACAACGCTGTCAGCAACTGAGGTTGCCGCTCATGGTCGGTGATAATCAGGCTCATTTGGAAACCAACTTCACGGTGTCTATCGAAGCGGCAGAAGGTGTGACCACAGGTATATCGGCTTTAGATCGTGCAACCCACTGTGCTCCGGCCAGTTAAAATCCCGCATGCAAACTTCTGAAAACATTGTGCAACCGGACATATTTTCGATAATGGCACGTAAGCGGGTGCGCGTACTTCATACCTGCGGGTCATACCGAAGGCCGTTGTGATCTGGCACGACTGGCTGGCTCGAATCTGCCTGCGAGTTATGCTCGAATTCTCAATGAGGATGCACTATGGCGACCGCATGATTCTCGAAATTATTTGGCCAAAGAGCACGACCTTAAATCGGCACCATCGAAGACTTGATGCGTTACTCGAATCGAAAATACATACTTCGAGTCGTATGTTGATTCGCGGTTCTCCAACGACTTTGTGCGATTCACAAACTTTATGCCTACAAGACAGTATCGCTAGACATTACATCTGGCGTTCGTATAAAGTAGCATATTGACGCCGATAACGATATCCGGTCGTGTTCTATGTGCAAAAACACTGTAACCTGCATACTCTGGCCTAGGCACCATTCGAGTACGCGGTTGGCCATAGAATACATCATGACTCGATCCACAAGAGAAGCGAGGGACGTCATCGTCCTACGTCAGCCGGAAACGCCGAAAACATGACATGCAAGCATCAAACCAATGCCGACGACGGCCAGGCGCGAAGAAGTAAGCATAAGAAGCATTTGCGCACGTATGCATCCGCGTGGCGCCAAATATTTGGCAAAGATTTGGGTGTGCGCCAAAATGCAACTAATGATGCCGCCCCGGCGCTTTCATGCCTAGCTGGGTTTTGGCCTGGAAATCGTCGATTATTATACTGATTAATGCGCGTGTCGCATGAAGAGGAAACACCATGAGTGAAGTGAATGAAATTAACGGCGATATCAGTGTCGATAAAGCCAGAATTGCCATCGTCGTCGGACGCTTTAATGGCTTCGTAGTCGAGAGCCTGCTGCAAGCTGCGCTCGATACTTTAAAGCGTTCCGGTATTAAACCTGGCGATATAACCGTCAGTCACGTGCCCGGTGCATTTGAGATGCCTTTGGTCGTTCAAAAATACGCGCAATCAGGGAGTTTCGAGGCCATCATCGGGCTCGGTGCAGTGATACGCGGTTCGACCCCACGGCAGATTACAGCGTCACCCCGCATATTTTGCTTTTTGTCGCTGCGGAAACCCAATGCCAGTCATAAACGGCGTGCTGACCACCGATACCATCGAGCAGGCTATCGAACGCGCAGGAACCAAAGCCGGCAACAAAGGTGCCGACGCGGCCATGACCGCGATGGAAATGATCAGCCTACTGCGCAAGATCGGTTAAGCACACTCAATGTCAAATCAAGCAAACGATAACGCGCGTTTCATCAAGAAACGTAAACATGCTCGTGATAAGGGCCTGCAGGCTTTGTATCAGTGGCACCTCGGGTGAGAGCACCTCGAATGATAAACTTAGATCATATATCTTGACAAGATCAAAGGGTGTCCTCCCGGAGATGAAGCCTATTTTTCCTCGATACTGTTTATTTGGAAATTCCCTTCCCTAGCTCAGCAGCTAGACTGCGATTTACGCATCAAAACATGTCGAAAATTTGATAGATCATCTCGCCCTATCGAAAACCAATATTTATCGGATCGCCACTATAGTATACGAATATCTCCATCACCCTGATATTATTCCGTATCAAAAGCTCGTCCTCAACGAAGCGATCAACCGGCCGAAATACCTATGGAGGCCGACGATAGCCGATAACTTTGTCAATGGTGTCCTTGATCCTTTACGCGCGGAAAATGCGCCAAGACCGAGAACGTCTGTTAGCCCGTCGAGGTTACAGCGATCAAGCATCGCCGCTAATCCTGAATTGTTCGCTCCCATCGAACGCTACTATCGCGAAGCAAACAAGGCGGAAAACACGCAATATAAGCGCCAAAACTGTCATCAACGGGTGACGATGCGGCAATCCGTTGTAAATGCGGAATAAAACAGGACCGTAACTGAGTGTTGACTTTCACGCCGTATCCGGTGCATTCATTTCCCAGCAAGCATCGCCTCGCTCT